TTCTGTAGATCTTAATTTTAGTGGGTTGCAATAGGGAAAAAAATCTTTCTTTCTCTCCTCCTTATCCTGTCTGTGTAAAACAGGGAATATTGTCCATATGCCAGGCAGTCTGTGCCTTTGGGCACACAGGGGGAGCTGGCAGGGAGGAAGGGCAGCAGTGGGCACATCGCCCTCCAAGGAAATCCCCCTGTTCCCCCCAGAAGTGCCTCCCCCTAAACCTTCACCATCCTCCTGCCACCGCCGTGAGTTTTGACTTGTGAAAGGACCAAAGTCCTTGACATCTCTCGTCCCCACACTGATAAAAAGGGATCCTGGGCAGTGTGGGAATGCTGGCAGGGTTGGCTGAGCCTGCCTGACTTCCCCTGTGCTGCCCCACGGCCCCTGTGTTTGGTTTGGGTGGTGAAAGTCCATGAGAAGAACGAGAGGAATCCTGCTGGCTCGGGAAGGGTCGGGATTTTGGGGGTCCCTCCGCACTGCCCAGGGCAGGAACACCCAGTGCAGGTGTGGGATGATGACAATTTTGGGATCATAGCTTCAAATGTTCTGGTTTTCACACTCCCCCGAAGGGCTACAGGGCTTGTTGTTTGAAAATGGGAGCACCTGAAAAATACCTGTACTTTATATTTTATGCTCCCGCAGCGTGTTCCTGGTCAGGAACTATTTGTCCATCTCATCAGGGTCTTAAATCTGTTTGTCAGGAGTCCCAAATGAGAGGGGAAGGGCTGGGCAGTGCAGGTGGAGGGTGTCTTGTTTTGAGGTGACATGGTTTTAAATCAAAGTCCTCTCAATATCTGTCTCTGCCCGTGGTTAATGGGTTACTGATGCAAGTTGGCACTTGCAGCTCCTGCCCTGGGGTGCCCTGGCCTGGTCTCGTGACTGAATCAATCAGGGCCAAGGAATATCGACAGGTTGGAAAAGCACCAGGCTCTGCTCTCCCAGGAGGTTTTCCTTAAAGCTCCAGCTCCTGGAATTGCCTGAATCCTGAATTTTCCTGACCAGAAAGCTGAATTTTGGTGGAGTAGAGCCACTTTTCTGAGTGAACTCCAATGGTGTGAAAGCCAGATGCCCTTTTCAAGTCTTTATTTCTTTACTTCAGTCAGTGAGGGTTTTAATTGTATTTTAAGGTGACTATTTGATGACTTTTGGGGACACTTCTTGCTTGTAGCACCTGCTTTGCATGAGCTCAGACCCCTGGGGTGCATCCACACCCCTTGCTGGAGCTCAGGGGGATGCTGAATGCCTTGAATTGCCCAGAGCTGGGGGGTCCAAGGCAAAATTCCTTCTCAAAACCCACGTGCAGTGAATCCCACGTGCTGTGGAGGTGTTTCCCCAGGTGCTGCTGGGACAGGGGTTGGGCTTGCTGCAGGTAGAAGCAGTTCTTGGGCACTGAAATGTGCTGGTGGGTGGGGGGAGCCCTTGGGCACAGGGGCTGATCCTCATCAGACCCTGCAGGGCTCGGCTGCTCCTGGATTAAGGGCCAGGGTATGTTTGGTTTGGAGGGTGCAGCTGATCATGGACGTGTACTTGAATGGGATATTTGGAGATGCCAAGGTGAGCACAGATCCTCTAAAAATCAGTGGAGGGCTGTGCTCCTAAGTCATGTTGTCCCTGGAATAATCCCATGATTAATGTGGATGTGGCTGCTCGGGGATCAGGTTGCCCTTGGGAGGTATTTTTTATTTCTTTAGTTTTGCCAGAGATGTTGCTTTAAATACTGTGTGTTCCCCCCCCCCCCAGGTTTTGTGAATGTGTCTGTGGCACTGCTGATAAATCTAAAATAAATGAATTATGAGCAGCTTATTTCAGTTCATCTTAAGCCCCTTCCTGACCAGTTGATACCAGGGAGGATCCCCGGGGCCAGTGGCACCAGAACCTGGCACAGGTCAGTGTCACAGGTGAGTTTTGAGTTTAACACTGTGTTTAGACCTGCCATGAACTGTTTTTTGGCATCACTTCACGGGCCACGTCCAGCTGGAGCCCTTGGTACCTGGTGACAGCAGCAATTCCCCCACCTGCCCTTTGCCTTGTTCTCCCTTTGAGGAATATTTGGGCTTCCCTGTCCAAGCCTTTTCCCGCTCCTCTTGTGACTGTACTCACAAGGAAATCTTCAAAGGCTCAGTCCTATCAATTTTCCCCCACCATATGTTCTCATTAAAAAATTTATTGTGCACTTTATCTTAGGATTATTTGCCAGCAATTAATAAAACATGTTGCAAGCTTCAAATGAACATTCTCCCCTCCCCACTTCCCCTTAACGAGGGAAAGGACAGAGAAATATGAAAAAATATCACCATGACAGATGGTGTTTTTTAACCTTTCTTTTGCCCAATCTGGGGGAAAAAAAAAGTGATTTTTCTCCAAATATTGGCATGGGTTTCTAATTATGAGTTGCATCACTTGGAGGTCTAATGCAAAGCTTGCTGAGCTCAGCCAACCTGAAACGTGGTCGTGTGTTGAGGTGGATGGTGCTGGCACAGGGACACGCAGAGGGGACAGGGGCTGTGGGGTGACACTGTGGGTGGTGGGTCCCCCTTCTCCTCCAGGCACTGGGGCGAGCAGGGAAAACTGCAGAGCCCACTGCTGGAAGCAAATGGTTGGCAACTGCTGTGGCCAACAGCTCCCAAAGGCACCCAAAATGTCGTGTCGTCCTTGGCAGTGGCTGTCTGGTGGAGGCTTGAAAAAGTGACTTTTTGGGTTTTTTTTTTGAAGAGTTCCCGAAAGGAGAGACCTCCCTGCTGTGCCCCTTCCCACAGGGAATATAACCCCTGGTTTAGGGGCAGGAAGGGTGGCACGGAGGAGCCCGACGATCCTCAAGCTGGTGGGTGACATTCCCTGTCCTTTCCCACTTGGCGAGCTCCGAATCGTGGCTTTGCCCTCCCGTTATTTGGAATTTTGGGCTGTCCAGGGTTGGTCTCCAGGGGAGATGGGGCGGGAGGAAAAGCAAACAGAGCATCCCCCAGCAGCGCTGCAGGGCTGGGACACCGTGTACCCTGCGGAGCCTTTCCCTGTGCCTGCGCCTACCAGGGGGAAATAAATACAGGAATAATGCACACAGACGGGTTTCTTACATAAACAAACGTCTGGGGAGAGACCTGGCTGTGGGCAACCCGCTGGGAAAGTCCTGCTCAGATGGGAATTGTAGAGTTAAACACTCCAGTCTCGCTTGGATGTGTCTGGGCTTTGATTTATACTCCTGATTGGATGTTTGCCTGGCCCGATCAGAGAGCCTGGGCAGCGGTGCGTGTTGACACTCGGTGTTTAGCTCTGGGTAAAGTTTAAACAGGACTTATCGTGGCTCTGACACCTCGTGGAGGCTTCCCCGCGCTAATGACGCGCTCGGTGCCATCCCTCACACCCGCCCGGCCCGCAGGCTCGCGAGGGTTCGGGGAAAAAAGGAAACCTGCAAACCAAATTCACGGAAAAGGCTCATTCGACACCTCTTCTAATTTTAAACTAACCCCACTGCCCTCCGTCCCGCGGCCGTTCCTCCGCTCGCCGACGCGGCTGGAATACAAATCCCGGAGTGATCTCAGGTCAGCCAGGCCCTTCCAGCCCTTCAGGAACTGTTCCCCTGTTGCTCCAGTTTGTCCCAGAAGCAGCCTTGGGCTCTGCTGGGACTGGAACAGCCTCATGTGGGAGGACAGAGGTAGTTTTGGGTCTGGTGTGCGGTGACACTGCGCGGGGTTGGGTCCAAATGGGAACTCTGCTTTAGGGCCAGCTCATGTTTTTTTCACCCAATTCGCCCTCTTTTGCTTTTGATAGAAATTGCTCAAATTAGCACTGTCAGGTTTGTTCCCCCACATCTCTCCCACCCATGGAAGGATGCAGGAACCTGCTCTGGGTGCAGTTTTGGGGGCTCAGGTTGCTCTGTTTGCACCCTCCCATGCAGGCAGGAGGAGGGGATGGGGACAATATTTACCCCACTTACCCCAACTGCTGTCCACCGAATTTCCCACTCGAGGCCCACCAGAGAGGTGCATTGGCAATGGGATTTAACACCCCATTCCCAGCCTGACATGGGCGCTGGCCTCGAATAAAGCTTGTGCTAAATAACACTGAACTAATTTAATTTTATGCCTTGATTTTTATGAGTAACAATTAAGGAAAAAAAACCCCAGCAGAACGTAATTACTGCACCTTGAAGTCCCCGGGCCGAAGCCTGAGCTGAGGTTACAATATGACAGCTTTTATCTGGGATCTGATAGGGGTGTTATTCATTGTATTAAAAGTTTGCCAAGAGAGGCTTCACTGAAAATTAACCCATGTTATCACAGTGAGTAATATCCTGGTTTTATCATGTGGAATAAATAAATAACGTAGACCTTAGGCTTTGGATTAATGAGGTTACACCGAGTGCAGGGTGAGGAAACAGTGTTAACACCACTGCAAGGGTTGGTGATTGAGGTGAGATGAAAATGGAACAGAAAGTTTTGTTGCATAACAACAGAGTTTGTATTACTATTAATTATATTATGCAATGGGAATAGGATGGAATTTGGCTCTATCTAGCAACAGACCTGGGTGAAAAACTCTGCAAACGTCCAGGAAAAAACTCTTTGCAAATTTCTCAGGAAAATTCCATTTGTGGCACTCCTGACACTCTTTCCTCACCTTGACCTGTTGTGGTGGTTTGGCTTCGAGCCGCCCTGGTGAGACAACTCCTTTGGCTCCTGGGGAGCCCTTTCCCCTTGATCCCACTGGTGCTTCTCCCACCCGGGATCCCCATCCTGCTGCTCTGCATGGTGGGGCCAATGAATCCAGACTCCAGGTGAGGTGGAGTATTTGGGGAAACCCCAAACTCCGAATCACAGTGTGTCTCACGTTGGGAACAAAAACAATTACATTGGAGAGCTTAGAAAAAATGAGCAACCCACTTATCCCTTTGTGCTGGTGGATGTTAACAATCCCAGGAATACCCTTATCCTCTGGGCCATCACCATCCCTAATACCTCCAGATATGGCTTGGGTAGCTTTAATTAGGTCTGTGCCTTTTCTTTCAGCCCATGGGAATGCAGGTGAGCAGAGCCAAAGCAAGAAGAAGGGAAGAGAGAGGGAGAAGGAGAGAAAGGAAAAGCGATGGAGAGAAGGAAGGAGAAAAAAAAAATAATCCTTGTATGCCCGTGGTGGAATTTCTCTGGAATTTCTCTGGAGAAATCTGCAGGGCAGGGTGGGTAATGAAAGGAATAACGCTCAGGGAAGTGATGGAGCCCTGCCTGCCCCGTGTGCCTGGAGGGGAGGGATCTGCCAGTGGCCTCCACGGGAAGGTGATGCTTGGGAGAACAATTGCTGGGCTGTTGTACCATGCCTGGTGCTATGAATGGAGCCACAGAAAGGCTGTCCTTGGACTGTTGCTAAAGCCCAGCATCTTCTCCATCCCCTGCGTGCGCCGCTCGCTGCCGCTGCCTCCCGACACGGGCCAGCAACGGAGAAACCAAGGGCATAAAAGGTGGGATCAGAGCCTGCTCCAGCCTCAGCCCCTGCTGGGACATCAGCTGGCTCGCTGCTCATCCATCTCCAGCAGTCAGAGTGGGGCCTGCTGGGTGGGATTGTCCAGCTCGCTGCAGCTCCGGGCTGGGAATTCCCCCTGCACCACCAGGGATGTGGCCATGCCACGACACTGTGCTGTTCCAGGAGGCTGGATGTCCATGCTCCAGAGGAGCCCTGGGATCCCCACCAGAGATGACGAGGATAGTGATGGAATGGCTCAGCCAGAGCCTGGGATGTGCAGGTATGTCTGTGCTGTGTGTGTGTGAGTACAGCACACGTGCCCTCCCTCTGCTCCTGGCCTGGCTGGGCCACCTTCAGCCCATGCCCTGTGGAAAAGGGGAGAGAGCACAGGAGGGAGAAACCCCACTGCACTGCAGCCCCAATTTCCCCCTGTATTGCCTGAGGGATGAGGAATGGGCACAAACCCTGTGGATAACCAGCCCAGAGCTCTCATTCAGCCCAGCCTTGCTGTCCCTGAGGCAGGTTGGACCCCAGCTGGCATGTGGGATGGGCTCAGTGCAGCCCTGAGCCCTCCTGCTGGCTCCTTGCCACTCTCTGTTGGCTTCCAACTCCAATGTTCTTCTTCTGTAGTGCATTTATTTGCCTTTTTTCCCCCAGTTGCAGACCAGGCAGGGCTGTGAGGGAGTCTGGGGAGTTGCTGAGCAGAGGGTTGGGTGGCGAGGGGAGCCTGGCTGGCAGTAGCCTGGGGCTGTCATAAAAGGAACTGAAAGGGGAGTGTTAAGGCTTTAGCTGAGCTATGGAGAAATGGTTTTACTGTTGGAAAAGAAACTGCAGCAATAATATGTCTGGGAGGGTCTGGGAGCCCCTCCAGAGGCTTGGGAGCAAGTGCAGGCTGGAAGGAAATGGGAGCACTGGGGGTGTGGGTAGAGAGGCACAGGACTGCAGATCATTTCAGCTGGAACAGACCCTGCAGGGCTCCAGTTCCACCCTGCCACAGCAGGGACACCCACGCTGGGTTGCCTGGGGCATGTCCAGTGCAGGTCTGAGTATCTCCAAGGATGCAGATCCCCTCTGGGTCCCTGTCCCAGTGTCTGATAGCCCTGGTGGTGAAAATAATTTTGTAGAATCACAGAATGGTTTGGGTTGGAAGGGATCTTAAATCTCATCTCATTCCACTCCACTGGAGCAAGCTGAGGATCAGCCTCTTCTCCCAGCCTCCAGTTGTGCCAGGGGAGATTCAGGTTGGACATTAGGAGGAATTTCTCCATGGAAAGGGTGGTCAGGCACTGGAAGGGGCTGCCCAGGGAGGTTTGGAGTCCCCACCCCTGGAGGTGTCCAAGGAAGGACTGGCCATGGCACTCAGTGCTCTGGGCTGGGGGACAGGGTGGGATCAGTCACAGGGTGCACTCCATGGGCTGGGAGGGCTTTTCCAAGCTGGATGATTCCAGGATTCTGTGTCTTTAGGAGAACACCTTCAGCCAGCCTGGTCCTCTGCTGGCACGAGTCAGATTAACTCCCCTGGAGCCAAAAGCTCCTAGAACAACAACCTGCTGGGAATTAGGAATAAATGCAAATAGTGTTTGTTTGATTTGCTCCTCAGGTCTGGCCAGGAAACCTTCAAGTAGCAGCACTTTCCCTTTTAAGCAGGTAAGTGCTTTTTCAAAACATACCCGGGAGTGTCTGAGCTCCTCTGTGTGTGGCTGTAAATCTTCCTGAGCTCTTAACGAGCCACTCACTTGGTGACTCCGTGCTGGTGAAATCTGTGGCTGTGAGGAGCTGGAGAGGGTGGTGGGACACCTACTCTGACCTGGAAAGGGGGAGAGAACCGTGGGCACGTGGGGAGTGGGGTGATGGGGAGAAGAGTGGGGCTGAAGGACACCTGGACAGGCAGCAGGTGATGGTTGGATCTCTGCTCCAGACTGGGAGACTGGTGGGATGGTGGTGGAAGGTGGGGATGGTGGTTGGTGGGGAATCTGAATGGGAACATAAGGAAATTCTCTAAGAAGAAATGTGAATGAGCAACTCAGCCGAGATTTTGGGCTTAAATATTTTTTTTTTAAAATTCTAATTTTTTAAAATTTAATTTTTATTTTTTTTTTTTTTTTAGTTTTAATGTTTGGGGTTTTTTTAGTTTTAATGTTCATTTTTTTTCAACATTTTCCCATGAAAGACAGAAACTTTTCTGGGCCAGTGGGAAGTGTAACCCAACCTCCAGTTTTCTGTCCCAGACCAGTTTGGACCAGCCATCCCAACAATCTAACCATCACGGGGGGTTTGGTTTCCCCCCTCCTTAGCAAAGAGCAAGCCAAAAAAAAAAAAAAATTCAAATCACCAATTAAAAAAAAAAAAAAATCCCCAAACCCAGCAGCCTGTTGCCATCCACGGCTGGTGTATTTTTCCTTTGGAAGTTGGCCACCCCAAGCACACACAGGGCTCTGTGTGAGCCTCCCTCACCCTCCAAGAGGGAGCAGAGAAGGAAAACTCCCCGTGCCTGGGCTGGGCCGGCGGGCGGGGGGCGAGCGCGGGGCAGCGTTTCTGAACCGAGTTCCTTTCTCTATTTTATTTAGATTTGGTTCTGCTCAGCGGGGTGATTTCTTAATTAGAGCAGCCCAGTGGTGCAGGGCCTGTCTCTCCAGACCCCTGCTCTGCCTTCTTAGGTTTCACGAGGGAAGTTGTCGTGCCTGATTTCCTGAGCTCCAATGCCCGGGCGGTGTGCGGGGATTGCACCGGGAGGAAAAGACATGTAATTTAATCATCTTTATTAGATTTTGGGCCAAGGAAGGGGCAGAGCAGGAGGAACCGTGTCCTCTGCTTGTCTCTTGGCTTTCTCTTCTGCTTCTAGTGGCCAGAGATGAGATTTCACGGCGGAGGCAGCAGAAAAGAGATGGTCCTAAAGGACCATGTGGTGATGGATTTTTTTGTCCTAATTGGTGGAGTTTTCCTGAGCAGTTGCTGTTATCTCAGTCTCAGGCACATCCATGACCCTGCATGGATCCATCATGGGTTAGTTAATGACTAGCTGTAGTTAAAAATTCTGATCTTTAACCCATTTGGTTATGTGAAAGGGAATCCCGTCCCTCAAAGGGAATCCTGTCCCTTCAAAAGGAATCCTGTCCCTCCAAAGGAGGAAAAGGGGTGAGAGGCTGGTGGGGGCCAGTTCAAGCAGAGTAAATGGGGAAGCAAAATGTGGAATTTTGCAAATTGCAGGGGTTTTCTGAGAATCCAAGGAGGGCAGGCAGCCTCCACCTGGAGCGTGGCATCGCCACCCCGGGCTGGGCATGGCTCTGCTCGGCTCCCACTTCCAGAGGGCAGGTGAGAGCTTCCCCCAGCCCCTCTGCACCAAGGGGAGAAAAACTCTAAGGACAAAAATTGGTCCTTTTTTTTTTTTCCAGACTATAGATGACGAGGAAAAATCTACTTCGTTGCATGGTAGTGGCTCAAAAGTTTAGTTATTCCTCTTACCCTTGCTGGGCAGAGCTGATGGGAATGCACTGAGGGGCACTGGGAGCTCTGAGTTTTGGTGGACAGGGGATCAGGACATCTGCCCACATGCTCCTGTTGACTCTCTGCCTGCACTTACCCATCCCATCCCCAGTTTTTATTTAATTTAAATCGGTGCTAATCCACTGATGCCAGCGGAGCTGGGCTATTCAAGCCTTGCCTTCTGTATCCTGCACACTCAGCTGAGACTTCACAGCTTCAAACATATTAAACAAAGCTCAGTGGGGAGCAGGGGGGGCACCCTCAAGTTTAATTCAAACGAAATCAAATTCTGGATTTTTTTTTTTTTTAATAAATCCATTTTATGGCTGGAACAAGGGCGAGAGAAGCAAATATTTGTTACCTGGAGACACCGTATTCTCTCCCTCCTCACCCCATGGGTTGGAGTTATTATTTTTCTGTGAAAGGCTCCCGTGGAGGATGGGAGAGGTTTATAACTCAGTAATGGGCTTCTCGCCTCAAAGTGGTTCCAGTTGCTCCCGGGATGGGCCGGGATGGTTTTGATTACGCCGTGAGGGGCTGAGAGCTGGTCATGGTTACACAGTTGTGGTGGTGGGCACTGAGCAGGGTTGGGGAGCTGTGGGGGCAAACAGGGGGATGCTGAGCCCTGGAGGAGCTGACACACAGGTGGCTGGGGAGGAAAACTTCTCCTGTGCCATCTGAGTTTGGCAGGAACTTAAAAAAAATGCCCTTTTTTTGTTCCCCCAGGAGTCACTTTACGCCTGGAGAAGGAACTCTGTGGCTGCAGCTGGGCTGTGTCAGGTCCCTGTGGCTGCAGGGGGGTGTTCTGGGGGCTGCAGGGTCCCACCCATGGGGTTTGGCAGCTCTTTGTCTGCCTTTGCTGCCTCTCCCCACGAGCAGGTGCCCCGTGGGCAGCGCTGTGGTGGCGGGGGCGGCTCCCTCAGTTATCCTGCTGGTGACAGGGGGGAAAATTCGGCTGGAAAACTTCCTCTCTGGGGACTGGGGTGTGAGTCAGTGACCACTGCAGTGTCACCTGTGGCCTTCTGGAGGTGTTGCACAGGGAGAGGCACGAGTCAGGTTTGGGGAGAGTTGTAGGGCTGGGGGGAAGGTCTTGTGGAAATGCTGAGTGGGATGTGTTTGTCCCAGGACATATCCGTGGTCCTTCCTCTCCTTTCTCTCTGCCCTGGGGAGCAGGGATGATTTTGCACTGTGTGTTTCTTGAAAAGCCCACAATGCACCATCCCCAGGGGTGGGAAAGCAGCTGCAGGTGCCAGGGAAAACTGCTGCTGGTCCATCCTACCCGTGTGTTTGCGTCGCAGGGGGACCCAAAAACCCCACTACTGCTGGCAAAATGAGTTGCTTCAGTTGTAAGTTGTGTTTTTGGGGGGAAGCTGCAGCAGCTTGGAGTTTGGTTTCTGAGAGAGAGCCAGCAAGAAATTACAAATTAAAACCAGAAAGCCCTTTTCCCCCCTCCAACTCTTGATGTCTTGATTCAAGGTATGCATAACCATAATCACCGCTTGGAAGGGCAGCCCCCCTCCACCTCCCGGGGTCTCTGTTATCTCTAGAACCACCCTCTGGCTTTTGATTAGGAAAATGACACTGGAGAGGAACTCTATCTGCTGGGAGTGAGGCAGCTCCAAGCCCTCCTCCTCCTCCCCGAGAGCCTGCGAGCTGCAGGGGTAGGGAAGGAAGAGGAGGGAGGGATGAAGGTCACCTTCCGCTGCCCCGGGAAGGGAACAAACCCCTGGCAAGGGCCCGGGTCGAGCTCTCCAGAGTCATTATCGCAACAGGCTGCGAAAGGTTAGGGAGGAGGGAGCTTTTCGGAAGTCTTTGCCCACTAATTGATTGTGAGGAGCGGAAGGAAGGATGGATCAAAAAAAAGAAAGAGCCCCCTCTGCCCTCCCCAGACGTGCCCGGCCAGGAGGCAGCAGGTTGGGGTTTGAACTGGAACAGAGCAGGAGGGAAATCGGATCCAACAGGAGCAGGGTCTCCTTTCAGTCTAATGGCAGATGTGGAAGGGCTTTTCCAGCATCATTAGGAAGGATGAAGGGCTCTGCAGGCTGGGCTGTGCCCTGTTCTGCCCAGCCAGGATGGATGTGCCAGCTCAGGGAGCAAGGTCTCCTGCTCCCCTCTGTGGCATCCCTGCTCCAGCCCCCTGAGCTCCCTGATGGGAAAGGTGCCCCACCACGGGCAGAAGCTGCTCCCCATGTGATGCACAACTGCTCTGACAAACCCCCTTGGAGGAGATGGGTGCTGTTTAGAGGAGGAGCAGGTGGGAGTTGTGCCCTCAGAGCCAGGACAAAGCCCTGAAATGCCAGTTTGACTCACCCTCAGCCCAAGCACAGACACTTTACTGCAGGCACAGCACAGGGGTTGAGCCCACACCAGCCCTGGCCATTAAAGACCCCAGGCCATGGGCTGGAATATGAGGGGATTGGGACAGAGCTTTTGTACAAATTCTCCTGCCCTGCAGCCCATCAGCCTGGGTGTTCCTGTAAAACCTGGAGACCAGGCCATGGACAAAGTCCCAGGATGTTTCCCAGGGAAAACCCCAGTGCCAGGTGCTCCACAGGTCTGGGTTGCACAGACAGGGCAGAGGCTGGAGAGGGGATTTCTCCTGGTTGAGCCTCAGAGGAGCTGCTCAGCTCCATGTGCTGGAGGGGACTGGCTGGGAAGGAAGTCATTGCTGCAGTCGTGGCTTTCTGGCCCCGGGTGAGATGGTGCCCAGAAATGAAAGGCAGCTGCAGAATTTACCTCCTCCCAAGACAGGATGAAACCAGAGCACTTTAAGATGACACAGTGCAAGAATTAATCCACTCAGGTGTCACTGAAGGATTGTCTAAGCACGTTGAGGTACCTCCTGGAACAACACTGTGTCAGTATTTACAGCAGGCAGTGTAATTTCAGGTTTCCTAATCAAGTCTTTGGAAAGAAAACAGACAATTTCATGCCATTCTCTAAGTGCTACCTCTCCTTAACCTTCAGCCTGGCTTCCAGATCCAGGAGAAAAGGCAGTGGAAGAGATGAGCTGCTCCCCTGGGGAGTGGCTTCTTCATCAATGCTAATGAGTGGTGCAATGCTAATCCTGGTGCTACCTCAGGCATTGATTATCATTACTGTTATATTGGTAAGGAGGGGGGGGAAAAAAACCCCAAATGATTTTTAGAGCTACCCCAATCACCT